GTAATACCTAATTTTGTAAAAATGCAAGTTCTGTGTATGTAAAATCAAGATTATTTTGATATTTCGAATTGTTCATATTTGCAATTATACTTGCTACGTTTTTATAATAATTGTGAGCCTACTCGTAATATATGAATACGCGCTTTAATACCAAATATACACACATAGGCACAATTAAATTAAACCAAACGTTTCTTCTCTACAGTCTAGAAATTTACAAATATTCACACTTCATTATGTATGTACTTCTATCGTTGTATACGTTTCCATCGTTAAATTGTCGGGAATGAGGAATAATACTTTTCCATGCTAATTAATATTTTAAGTGTCGATTATAATTGTTAATATTTAAATCACACATATCTTTCCGATATGAAATTAAATAATTTAAATGTGAGTGTGATTATACCGTATTTACAGACACATATACACCATTTTATCGTTATACATACTTTGAACGTTTAGGGCAAATTACTCGATCGTTTCTTTCTTTTGCGACCTTTTTAAAGCTTCATAAACTGCCAACTCTCTTTTCTCCTTTTTTAAATTTCTATTTTCAAATTCCAGTCTGTAATTAAATATCACGTTGAATATAATGAATTAATTTTATTATATGGGATATGCAAATGTTCTCCTGTCCAATTTCTTGCAATTGCTTTAAAATAAATTATATAGGTTTCTTCCTAAAGTAAATTTAAACTTAATAGGATATCAAGGTGAATCCATGAAATGCATTATTATTAACACAAAATTGCATATCCCATTCCAAGAACAACAACAAAACTTAAAAAGTAAAGAAAATACGTTTATTGCAAGCCGGGTGAGAAATTACAAAGTAACAAGAGTCTACAAGTCAACGTCTGTTCAAGTTCTTAATTATCGTACATAGTTCAAATGACCTAAGAAAATAAAATACTGCGTAGAATATATTTTTTTGCACAATTTGACGAAACATCACGTTAACTTCATATTAAGAATTTAAAAACAACTGATAGTACACAATAGAACGTGCTCAATCGCATGCATAGTAAATAAAATAACATACCTGTGAAGAATTATACGTTCAACAATTTTTTCGGTTGTCATATCATTGCCACTATTCAGTAGTTTAAATTTGTTTTGTCTCTTAGGTTCGGCATATGGGTCTAAACCGTCTTCGCAAGGCATGATCGGTGTTTGACCATGACAGACGATGGACACATCGAAATGTTCCATCAGATCTTTAGTAACTTCGTACGGTGCTCCGATTACTACTTCGTTAACATACTACGTACAAAAGAAATAATAAATACACTATTACTATACTAACATTCCTACAAGCGTTCAAACTTATGTATTGCTATTTACCTTGCATGCCAGTACACTTAGCACTCTTTCATGAAGATTCATAATTGGATGATTTCCAGATCTGTATCGATTGACTACAGGATCTGTGTGAAGTCCAACTATGAGGTAATCACCTTCCTTTTTCGCAACTTCCAAAAAGTCTAAGTGACCAACATGAAAGAGGTCAAATGCTCCTGCCACGTAAACTATTCTATCTCCAGGCTGGGGACTTTTCCCATCGCTGAATTGAATAATTTTTTGTGTAGTAGGTAAGAACTGCGAGCAAGCCGTCCATGGACTTCTAGCCGTTCTATCCTGGCCCATGCTTTTACTAGGTTCCCTATCAACGCTATATTCACTGTCCCCTTGCTTGAAATGTTGCCTCGTCATTAAGAGCATGCGTCCTACTAAATCAGTCGTTGATACGCCCGCCGTTCTCTGAACTTCTCTACAATAATTACATTTCCTGTGTACCACATACTTAACATGACGCTCATGTAATTATTTCATCTTAAACGTACTTGTAACGATCTGCTGCTTTGACCAAATGATACGTGTCTACCCCATCTGCTGTCGTAGTAATATCATCACCATGAACACAGAAATCACAATTGTATTTGTCCAGCGTTTCTAACGTTGTGACATAAGGTGCCCCTTCAACTACCTCGTCCACCCACTTGATGCCACGCACCATTTTATATCTGACAGGAATATATTAAATTACAAACCAGATATGAAAGAAATTGTTCTAAATTAAAAGAATCGTTTGAAATTGAACATGATTCAATTGATTCTCTGGAATAAATTCATACCTCTCTTGCTCTGTGAATACTGGTGGCCCTTTGTGCTTAGTAATTTCCTCATCTGTATGTACGCCCACAACTAGATAATCGCCCAACGCTTTCGCCTGGCGCAAAGAATTTGCGTGGCCGAAATGTACCATATCGTAACTGTGACAAAAGAATAGTCATTTTTAAATACATATGTAAGCGAAGAATGTTTGATCATGCCAGTAGCTGATGCATATAAATTTATCTCGTAATGTTTGCATTTGCATCGCAAAACACTGATAAAACGAGATTGGAGGAAATAAATAAATCATCTCGATCCGTGACAGAATAAATATAACAAAAAATTCTGAAGGATGATTAAATAAATGCATTATCATATTATTATCACCGTAAATTACGTGTAACATCTTATTGACGTATACGCGGTGATACGTACGTCATACGTCATTCATATAAATCATTAAAAGTCGGTGTTCCATTATCGAAGAAATCAAAGTCATCCGATTGATTACGAACCGTCAGCACGTGAAACTTGAAAAGGATAAAATGATAGGGTTAATTCATCAAAAACTTACCATCCATCGCACCATACTCTCACTTTCTTACGATTTTCTGTCATAACGGCGAGAATTGATATTTACAATACGGGAAAAGAAATTGCTTTTTCTCCTTAATAAATACCGACAGCCAACGCAGCGAACTAGATGCCAAGCACACTACACGAAATATTGAAATGCACTGCGCGCGTCGCTGACTCACGCACAGGTTCTCGATCAACTAATATACTAAAGTAACATCCCCCACTTCGCCTCATCCCCCCACATGGACGTATTTCCTGCAGTTCTTAAATATTTAAAAGAAAAAAGTATAGATAAGTACTTAATCGATTGCGAGGTTTGCGTGAGAAATGAACGTTTCACTTTGGAATGATATCCATGTATTGTACTACAGTAGAGTGATTTACAATTCGATATAATCAGTTGAAACTAGTTAATGTTAATGATTATGCGAATTCTTAATTACATCTGTTATGGAAAAATTATTTTAGATTTATCATGTAAGCATTAGACGTCAGGTGATTCTTTGAGAAATTGACACGTTCCTGCGGTATCCGCAAATTTCATGTCGCAATTGAACATAAAACACGAGAAATTAATGTAGTATTAAGTAGAGATTGACAGTCCAATGATCCAGTGCGATAGTGGTACAATGAAAATGGAATATTTCGATATTTATTGGATAACATTGTACAATATAAAAATATTACGACAATTTCAGATCTACAAAATTTACTGCGTTATTTAATGATGTTTAATACTTCGTTCATATAATAATTCCGACCTAATAATCCTTCAATTTATTCTCACATCGAAAAATATATTCACGCAACACTGTAGAACACTGAAATATACACACTGATATACGCTAAATATTATGATTAATTTTACAATGGAAATTCGAATATCGCGAAAACAATCAAACAGGCACGCACAATCGGCAGTCATAACAACTCTAAGAATGACATCGAAAGATTGTAACTGTACAGGACATTGTTGGAATGAATCGATAAACTCTAGCCTGATCTCATGACTTCTGATAACTATATTCAACATAATGAAGTAAAAACTTTATGAAGCGTAGCATAATGATTAGTCACATCGATAGACGTGTTTACACAAGAAAAATGTTAATCAGTTACAGAGATACTATTTCGATGAATAGAAGCTCTACTTTTATCATTTCTTAGTAAATTATTTTATATAGAATACAGTGAAGTTAATTGCAAATCATTTCTTAATGACTCATCAATTTAACATTAAATCCAATGAAAAATTAAATGAATGTGATTTACTTTCCATACACACGAAATTAAATCATAATAATAGATTTTATACCTATTTCATCTCTAATACTACAATACACGGGGTTTGTATGTCCCTGTTAAACTTAATATAATGCAATTTGCATTGCATGACTGAAATGTAAGTGATCCTTGCATTTACTGATCGGTTAAGTATATTTATATCCTTTCTTTAAACTCAATACTTCTCACCGTTTGCCAAAAATCTTACTTTTGCGCACAGTATATATT